GAGGAGGAGGAGGAGGAGGAGGAGGAGGAGGAGGAGGAGGAAGGTGGATGCTCGAGGTGGATGCCAAAGATGTGTCCGTATCCAGCCCAGAGGTCGGTCAGATGGGTGGCTTTGGTGACACGTGTTCCCGTCGGGAGGATGGGCGCTAGCAGCGATTGAAGCTCTGCTTGACGCATTGCGGCTAAGGTCTTGCTGCCGCCTTTGATACGAACGGCAGGAAGCTTCTCGAGAGTGAATAGGAAGATGGTGTGTGCGCCACGACAAAAGCTGGCATTCATGCAGCTAACGCGGAATCTGACAGCTTCCTCAAAAGCAAGAAATGTGTGAGACAGTACTCTAACAGATCTGAAACCACGTGATTGTGGAAAGGTGTTGGTCGCGCCACGAGAGGCAGAATTTCTAGTGTGTTGATCCAAGCCAGCGACTCAACACGTCAAGCACGGCCATCGTAGTCCTTCTTCCAGCACAGACATCATGACGGCCTCTGGACAGTCATGTGGCAATGTGAAAGGGTGAATATGCATCACCAAGATGGAGCCTGGTGGGACGATGTCGTACGGATGACTGGAGTTCAGCAAGAGAAGCGTCGGGGAAGGGCGCTGCAAAAGGAAAGTGAGAGGTCGAATTGATTGAATGAAGCGTAGAATGTTGATCAACCAGCCAGCCTTCTTCTTATTTTTTCGAGGCAGCAGCACGCGTTGTGACAGAAGCAGCATAACCCGTCAGTGGGTTTGTGCATGACATCACGCTTTTCAGGGCTGCTGCTGTGCGAGAGTCTAGTTCAAGCGTGCGTGCGTTGCCTCTTTGAGCGTCTCCCAAGCTTTGAACGAGTTCAGGGTCCATTGAGCTTGAGTCAGGTAGAAACGCTCAAAGATAGAATCTACTCGGTTGCCTGCTCGAAACTTGTCCTTCCAATAAAAGGAGTCTGGAGTGAAGCTCCAACTCAGACCATCTTCATCACCACCTCGACGTCCTCAAGAACCTTGATCTCTTCCACTCGGCACCACCTTCGACAACTTGACGAACAACAAGCAAGCACGCTCAGCATCAACCACTCGCACCTCTTCTCATCGCCATCGTCATCGCCACCATCATCAAGTATGTTCCACGCATCCAACACCCGCCTCAACGCCGCCGGTCTTGCACCCGAGCACTCGAAGCTGCTTCCAGAGCGACAGCCCATGCACGACGAAGCTAACCTCCTCGAATCCCTCCGACAAGTAAGTTGCCCCAAGCTTTGATCAACACCGATCGCCTTGAACAAGATCTGATTCTAGTTTGTCTTCCCAATTTTGACAGCTCTACACATCTGCCACACCCAGCGATGAGTGCTTCTCCATCTTTGCCAACGAGGCCATCCTCACGCTCCCCACTGGCGACGTAGTGGTGGGACCCAGCAATATCAAGGCAAAGTTCGCCCAGGTGCTCGCACCCTTCACCCAGCGCAGCCTGCGTCAGCGTCTGCTCGTGACACCCGAGTCGCTGCCCCACCGTACCATCGTGCTCGACCACATGCTCAGCCTCTCCTCCGACGACGGCGTCACCGTCAAGAACGTCCACTCGCTCGTCGTCCTCAAGCGCAAAGCCCAAGACGGCAAGATCTCGGCACTGACCGAAGAGGAAGGTCACCGCAAAGCAACAGCACCGCTGGCAGCACGTGCTGCAGCAGCCAACAGCTTCTACTCGCCTACAGATGCACAGTTGAGCCCCGTGACGTCCAAACTCAACCTCGCCAAGAAGAAGCACCACATGAAGGCGAAGCCCACAGCACTCTTCGCCAACAGGTCCGGTTTGAGACAGGCCATCATCCCTGGCTCACCGGCTCCGAGCACCGGCAGCAACGCCGACATGGACTTCTAAGCACAGATTCGTGTTTGGCTTGTTTCCTGTTGGGGTTTCCGTCGATACTCGTCTCGCTTGCATTGTTCTCGTTTGTTGTCTGTACATAATCTGGTCTCGAAAGCATATTTGCGCGCTCAGTAAACTGCTGCTGCCGCTGCAATACACCTCATACATCTCGAAAGGTACCTTTGTCGTATCGCGTGCGCCTGGTGGAGTGGGATCCGTGCTTTGTCGTCGGTGTATGCAGTCAAGGCATCGGTGGATCGAATCTCAATTGCGCCCGATTTCCTCTCTGAGTCCAAAATGAATCGGATAGATCCGACCGCGTTTCGCTGTGCTGTCGGCGTCGTTTCAAGGTCGGCGCACGAAGCAATTCCCAAATTCTCAAGGTGTCACTCTGTCTTCTCACCATCATCCCTTCATCCTCCTGTCCACACACATATCTCGACAATCACGATCCCTCACTCGGGCTCGTGACGTCCACGCCTCCTGCATCATGCTCCACGGCTTCAACATCCTGCGCCAGCAGTACTCGCAGCTCTCCAAGCCAGGAGCCAATCAGTCGGCCGTCAACACCATAACCACCCTCGCAGAACGACTCACAAAGGCAGATGAGCTTCAACTCACCACCGAAGATCGCAGGGCTGCAGTTCTCTCTCTCAAGGGTCTCAGCAGGGATCATAACCGCGCTGTAGGTCAACATGCACTGCCAGCCTTGCTCACATCATTGCAACGGGACGCAAAGGATGAGGACATCGCGAGGGCTTTGATCGAATGCTGCATCACGCTGTGCGAGGTCCAATCGCCAGAGGCTGCTCAAGCTTCATCAGCAGCGCAGGGACAACAAGCGCAGAACAAGCGAAAGCAACAAGATCAAGGTCCACCTTCCGGGCTTCTTCACACCGACATCTTCTTGCAAGAGCCCGGCCCGCTTCATTGTCTTCTGCCACTTCTAGCGCCCGATCGTGCCTTTTACACTCGTTTCGCTTCGCTGCAGCTTCTCGGCTCCTTGCTACGCAACAGGCCACACAGAGTACAGGATCATGTCCTCGTTGCGCCAGGAGGATGCGGTGCCATCCTCGAGTGTCTCGCAGAAGGCGCTGGCTCGTCCGCAGAGATTGTTCGTAACGAAGCCCTCCTCCTCCTTCCACACCTCGTGTTTGGCAATGCAGACATTCAGAAGCTCGTCGCCTTCGAAGGCGCTTTCGAAAAGCTCCTCGACGTTTGCGCCGCCGAAGGCAGGATCGAAGGCGGCGTCATCGTTCAAGACGCCCTCGACGGTCTCGAAGCGCTCTTGCGCTACAACGTCTCCAACCAGAACTACTTCCGCGAGACGCTCTCCATCCCCATGCTTGCACCGCTGCTCTTCTATCCTCCCACTCCGCCCAACAACGAGTTCCCCTCCAAGCACGCCGAACACGAGTATGCGCGCCAACTCGAAGCCTTTTGCTTTCAAGATTGGGATCATCAGAAGGTCGTCAACGCCAAGACCGTGCTCGACATTGCTGCTTTGCTCATCGGCGGTCAGGGCGAGGGTCGACGTGCCAATCAGGGCGCCCTTCTGCAGTGCGGAATGACAAAGTGCCTGCTCGACCTCGCTCTCGCTTCCACCGCCCCTGCTTCGCTCAAATCGCAGGCGCTGCATGTCTCGGCTTCCCTCATGCAGGCATCCAGAGCAAACCAGGATCTTCTGTCTTCCTTGCTGGTACAGCCGGTCAAGCTCGTTAGCGCTCCCGAGACGAATGCCGCCGATGGTCAGGAGGAGGCTGCTCAGGATCCAGCGTATGCAGCTCCGACAGAACCTGCTTTTACCCGAGCGGAGCCGAGACCTGCAGTCGTGAGCCTCGTCGAGCTCGCAATCGGCACATCTGGTGCAAAGGGCGGGCTCGGCCTTAGAGGTGCTGCTGTCGCTTGCTTCCGCGCTTACGTCGCCGACAACATGGATGCGCGTCTCGCCATCATCAACGGAATGCTTCCGCAAGCTGACGGCGAGACCAGCACGCACCAAGCCTCGGCCGCGGGCAAGACCCTCTTCGAGGGTATCACGCAGAATCCTTCTACACAGGCTACTTCCGAGCACGCCGACGCCTACAAGCACCTCGTTTCTGCCATGCTCTTCTCATACCTCGTTCGTGGAAGCGAAACTGCTAAAGCAGCCGCACGCTCCATCGCCATCAGTCCGGATGGCGCCGTCATCAAGCACGTTCGAGTTGAAAAGGAGAACGACGATGACGATGATGACGACGATGACGACGCACCTTCGTCGCTTATTCAGGTCATCGTCGGCAACCTCACCTTGTCCGAGCGCGAGCTAGCCGACGCCGTCCGCAAAGAACGTGCCTCTGCCATGGGTGCCACCGTCTCCTCCACCTCGTTCTCGGCTGCAGACTGGACGCGCGTCATGGTGGGCTACCTCGTGCTGCTTTCCGTGTGGTTGCACGACTCGCCGCTCAGCGTGCGCGACTTCTTGTCCGAGTCGGCGACGCTTCAAGCGGTGATCCAGCCCGTGGCGCAGTCGTCTGGTGTGGATCCGCTGATTCAGGGTCTGGCTGCGTTCTTGCTCGGGGTGGCGTACGAGTTCGATACGGATCCGGGCAAGGTGGCGGTGACGAGGGAGACGATGCATCCGATCTTGCATTCGAGGATCGGTGCGGATCAGTTTGCCGTGCGTATCAACCGGATTGCGGAGGACCCCAGGTTCCGAGAGGTGACGCCGGACGTTTTGGAGAGGCTGATCGAGGTGGAAGAGCAGCAGGAAGCGGATGAGCTGCGAGCGAAGCAGATCGCAGAGGCGAAAGCTGCTGCGGCTGCTGCTGCCGCCGCCGCCGCCGCGGCAAAAGCTTCTTCCGCAGATCCCTCCTCCACGACGCAACCATCTACCCTCGAAACACCTTCATCGGACGACAAATCCAAAGCGGACGAGGACGCCGCCGACCGAGACCTCGAAGTCAACGGCCTCGGCCACCTCTCCAAACGTCGTCGTGCCGGTCTCTGGTTCGACTGGACGTTCGTCGAGTTCTGGCGTGCCAACTCCACGCTCGTCGCCAAATGCATCACGGTGGATCCCAAGTCGAGCTCGGCGCTCCACGCCGCGATGCCTGCCGAGCTGGCGGACGCACACCGTCAGGTAGAAGCGTTGCGCGATACCGTCGGCAAACAGGCTAGGGAGATCGAGGTGCTGGAGAAAAAGGTCGAGGAGTTGAACGAGGTGCATTCGAAGCAGGTTGCCGAGCTGCAGGCGGAGCTGAGCGCGGCGAGGGAGGCGCTGGACACCCATGCACCTCAACTGGAAGCTGCTCGTTCGGAAGCGGAGTCCTTGAAGACCGCCCACGCATCGGCTCTCGCTGAACTGCAAGCAAGACACGATGCCTTGTCCGCCACGCTGAACGAGACCCAGGCGAGGGAAGAGGAGAGCAACGGAAGACTGCTGCAGCTCACTTCGGAGATGGCGCGCGTTTCCGCGGGCAAGCCTTCGGCGAAGGAGTTCGCGGCGCTGCAGAAGGGTTTCGATGAACTGAAGAAGAAGCACGATGAAGTTTCGAAGGGTGAGGGTGCGGGAGGGGGAGCGGCGATGAAGGATCTGATCGAGGTGCGGGAGTTGGCTGGTCAGAGGGCGGAGATGATCGCGAGTCTCGAGGCCAAGATTGCGAGTCTGGAGGCGAACTCCACCACCGCCACTACGGCCAACGGTGCAGAGTCGAGCGGTGCAGAGCCGACGGAACTGCAGAAGGAAATCACGACCTTGAAGGAGAAGAACTCTGCACTCGAGGTCCAACTCTCCACGCTGCCCAAGCTGCAGTCCGATCTCGAAGCTGCGACCGCGTCGACCAGCGAGCTCGAGACGATCAAATCCGCGCGGAACGGATTGGAGTCGAAAGTGTCGGAGCTGGAGAAGCAGCTCGAGAGCTCGAGGGGCGAAGCGAAGGGTGTGGGTGAGAGTGGAGCGAAGGAGGCGGAGAAGTTGCGGGGGGAGAAGAAGGCGTTGGAAGCCAAACTGCAGGGTCTTGAACAGGTGACCAAGGAGAAGAACGAGTTGGAGAAAAAGATCAAAGATCTCGAAAAGGTGAGCAAGGAGAAGGGAGAGCTGGAGAAGAAGGTCAAGGAGCTGGAGAAATCGAGCAAAGAGAAGAGCGAGCTGCAGGCCAAGCTCAAAGACCACGAAAAGCTCGCCAAGGACAAGGCTGAGCTCGAGAAGAAGCTCGTCGAGCTGGAAAAGTCGAGCAAGGGCAAAGCCGAGCTCGAGAAGAAGCTGAAAGACCTGGAGAAGGTGTCGAAGGAAAAGGCTGATCTCGAGAAGAAGCTCGCGTCGCTCGACAAGGTCACCAAAGAAAAGACGGAGCTCGAGAAGAAGGTGAAAGACCTGGAGAAGGTGTCCAAGGAAAAAACCGAACTCCAAAACAAGCTGAAGTCCCTCGACAAGCTCGCTGCGGAAAAGAGCGAGTTGGCAACCCAGCTCACCGCACTCCGCGAGTCCCACTCGAAAGAGACGTCCGACCTCACAAGCAAGATCGCCTCGCTCGAAAAGACCGCTTCCTCCTCCAAGAAACCTTCGACGACGACAGCGGAGAAGGAGTTGGACACACTCAAGAAGGAAAAGGAAGAAATCAGCAAGGAAAACGAAGACCTGCTCGTACTGCTAGAGGAGCTAACTCAGAAGCGGAAGAAGGACAAGGCTAGGCTCAGGGAGAAAGGCGAAGTCGTCAGCGATGACGACGACGATGATGAAGATGATGACGAGGAGAACGACGATGATGTCGATTGAATTTGCATCAAAGCTGCGACATCCGAAGCTGCGGGTTCGCGAATACAGTTTGATTCAAAAAGACAGCTGCGTTGTGCGAAATCTTTCCTCCTCGACCAATGTGTGATCCATCTGAGGCCATTGTGAATGTTCTGTTTTGGTGCACAGAGCGGCTGAATTCACCCTCTGTCAAACAGCACCTTCAACAACCAGATCGACAAACAGCTACCACACCCGTCTTCTTGGTCACATTCCTCGCAACTCTCAAGTTCGACAGTCTTTCTGCATCAACTTCGCACCAAAGGCGCAAGATGCACCACCCCCTCCCCTCATCCGTTCATTCTCTCACCTCCCGTCCCCCACTTTTTCACACATCACACAGCCAGCAACAAAGTGAGAAAAGAGAATTCATTCTCTCGAAATTTGCAAGATGGGAACAGGATAGCCGGCAAAATCGAGAAGAGCAACGGAGAGCGGGGGAAGAAAGAACAACAAAAGAGATACCATGCCCGATCAAATACCCTCCCTCCCGCTGAAAAGAGAGGAAGGGCAGAGGGATGGATTCAGAAATCGAAACGAAACGATCCAAAGACAAGCTACTTTCGCCAAAGCATGGATCGGAACAGCCCGCAACATGTCGATGAGGCCATCTTAAGAGAGACCAGCTCCCGGAAGAAATGACGCGGATCGAGCGGGGAGCTATCCGCGGCTCCAGCCGTTGAAAGGCGATGATGGAGAGGGTGGTAGGAATAATACAGTTTCCGGGACCGAGAAAGAGAGGAGAGAGAGAGGAAGAGAGGGGGATGCAAGGTCATAATACAAAGGAACTTAGATCGTGAGGTCTGCAAGAGACTCTGGCGTCATTAGGTGGGATCAAGAACGAGATGTACACGCTCCTGTCGTCATAAAGTAGGGAGTGCGCTGCGCAGCGCTGAGCTGAGCTGGGCCGGCGTCTCTACGTGCAAGACACGGCAAGCGCGGATCCGCTTTGCATGCATGCACCGCTGGAAAGATCGTCATCATCAGAGAGCGAGGCAGAGTCGAGACCCATCTCCATCAGAAGATCGTCATCACTGAGGTGGGACGAAGGCTGTCCAGCGGCAGGTGTGGATGCAGCACGCTCGTTTTGGTTGGCCTTGCCGGCAGGCCTCCGACTGGCGCGGGCCTGCTTACGAGCAGGAGTCGTGGCGACATTTGCGGATGCCTCGGCAGTAGCGAGCTCATTGGCAGATGGACCGACACCCATCAACGACATGCCTGCCAAGAGCAACACCGAAGCCAGGGTGCTGGGAGCCTTGCCTGGCGATGCAGTGTGGCGACTGACCAGGGAGTTGGCGCGCGACTGTCTGCTTTCGATCGAAGAGGAAGACGTCGAGGCTGTTGAGGGCGAAGAGGGCGCCGAAGCACACGGGAATCGGTAGTCGAGACCGAGACCCATTCCTGTCGCAGCCACGTTGCCAATGCTGCCGTACTGTTGAGCCGATCGGCTGCGAAGGGCGTTCTCGGAGAACATGGCCAAGGTCGGGGTCTTTGACAGGTCAAAGTTAGCAGTGTGCGAGGCATCGAGCTTCATGGCCGTGTTGTATGCATCGCCACCGAGAGTGAACTTGGACAGCGGTGACTCGGGCACAAAGAGTGGAAGCTCGGCAGCTTGGACTCCCTTGAAGGGCATGGATGTGACGCCCATGTTGGCAGCCAGGCTTGCATGGGTGGCGGTAACGTCCATGGAGTGGAAGTCCGCAACCGGAAGGGAGCTCTGTACGTTGGCGACGCTAGCACGAAGCGCGTCGAGCTGAGCCAGCAGCTCGTTCTCGCGCTGCAGAGAAGCAGTGAGCTCCGATCGCGCCTGTTCGAGCTCGGCGGAGGAAGCAGCCTGAGCGGGCGCTGGAGCAGGCGCAGCTGCGGCAGAGTGAGAGGCGAGGTGAGGGGGCAGTTCGGGGGCAGGGGTGCCTTCGAGTTCGTCGGCGGTAGGTGCAATGGAGGCGCCCTTCTTGGCGATGACCTCTTCAAGGCAAAGGCGGGCCATGGGCTCTTCATTGGCGAGCACGGCGGCGAGAGGGGTTTCGTTGATGCGGTCGACATCGGCATCGTTGCCAGCGATGGCCTCCCACATACGCCAAACGAGCATCGAGATGCCCTTGCACTTGATCTCCATCTCTTCGAACTGCTCACGCTTGCGCTGTCGCGAAAGGAAAGCGGCTGCACGATTCTTGACGAGACGGGCCTCGCGCTTGGTGAGGCCAGAGGTGTCGGGAGCGACAAACAGGCTCGAGTGCTTGGCCGAGGTGTCAATGACGGGGAAAGGTTTTCCGGACTCGGTAACATGAGACGCAGAAGGAGGTGGGCGTCGCTGACCGGTTTGGCGGGACGCCTTTTTGGATGCTTTGGCGGTGTCGGCGGCTGCTTCGGGTGTGGCGACAGCGGCAGGCACATCGACGTTCTTGCGCTTCGAGCCTCTCTTGGCGGAGGACGGGCGAGAGGAAGCGTCCGAGGTGGAGCTTGGGGACGCGACGGAAGAGAAGGACTCTGCATCGGAAAAGTTGAATCGCCTGTCGGGAGCGTGGGTTGCGTAGTTGGGAAGACTCATGCTGGCCATCATGGGCTGGGAGCCGGGGAAAGCAGCAAAGTCATGGGGCGCAAAGACATCATTGGTGGGTTCCATCTTAACAAGCTGTCCAGAAGGGCTAGGCTTCCAAAAAGTGTTGAGCGTGTTGGGAGCGTACATGGACGGCTGCGCAAGCATGGCGGGTGGAGCGCCGAGAGTGGGGTGGAATGGGGATTGGAAGGCGCTGTTGAGCATGGGCTGGAAAGCAGCAGGGTTGGGATGCTCGAGGAGAGTGTGCGAGACAGGAATGTGGGAGTGAGCATCCATCGAGGCCCAAGAAGGTGGTTGCGGCGAAGAAGACTCGGGAGAGAAGGAAGGCGAGTTGTTGATCATTGCGTCTTACGATGATATGGAGGATGTGCTGGAAGAGGGGAGATGACGATGTTGTTGTTGGTCGGAAGGAGGGAGAGCGCTTTAGCTACCAGAGCAGAAGGGCCGATTGCGATGAAGAAGATTCGCTGCCGGAGCGAGACAGGGATGAACGAGTTGAGCGTGAGAAGCCGACGAAACCGGTCGATCAGCTACACAAACTGGCGAGGGGATGAAGAAGGTGACGTCAAGGCAGTGGTGCAGACTGTAGCAAGCTGCTTGAGGCACTGATGACAAATGCAATAACGGTGGGTCGTATGCCGGGGAATGAGAGATGCTGACGTTGCGAGCCGTAATGAGGAGACGGCGAAGCGGGTTGAGAGCGATGATAAAGTCGACGCGGTCTATGCAATGCGAAAAGCAACGGCACGGGAACGAGATGAGAAGGGAGCCAAGAGAGAAATGAGGAGAAGGTGATGAACAACAAACGGAAAGATGAGCAAGACGATGGGATGAGATGAGATGAGATGAGATGGAGGGTCGGAGGCAGGAAGAGACGATGATAGCACAAAGAGACCAGAGACTACTGTAGCTTGGTGCCATGGCGTACCGAAAAGCAGAGTCAAGTGCAACACTGAAACAGATCAATCTCGAAGTTCAGCCTCAGTCGGCGCCCCTCCGCCTTTGTGTCACCGTGACTGACTGGAACGGAGTCTCCGCGTTCGAATTCACAGACCAAGGCAGCGAGACAAAGGGGGGCCCGTAAGCCGCCCCTTTCTTTTTTTCTTCTTTTTTTTTTGTGGTCCTCTCCTCGACCTTGACACGGGCGGCCCGGCGAATGCGATCGCGCCTTCCGCTGCTCCTCTTTTGTCGGTGACGCGATGCCGTTCGCCCGCTTCTTGTTCCCGCTCGCGTCTCATGACATGCTTGTCAAGCTGCGATGCTGTATTGTCTAGTCTGTACAGGAACTTGGCCATCGACGCTCGCAAGGGGGCAGCTGTGACTAACAAGCGGGACGTCGGCAACGCCATTTGCAGGCTTGAGGCGACCTGAGCGGGCAGTTCCCTAGCGCCGCAGCAAAGTTGTAATCTCGCTCTTGCGACTCCGACATGCACCTTGCATTCATCGAGAATGGGGCTCGCACCCGCCTACCGTTGCACAATCGAGCCAAAATCAGGGGGTTCAGATTTGAATATGTGACATTCGACGCTCGAGCCTCGCTTCTTGAGTGTAATCGAATTTCAATTTGTGATTTGATTCCCAATACAAATCCGATAGGGTGTCGATTTCAAAGTTGTCCTCTTCCTTGGTGTCTCCCCTCATCGAGATTGCCTGCACTCCCCGAGGTCAAGAAAAGATTTCGAAAATTCGTGACCGTTTCCAAGACGCGCGTCAAGCCGCGTCGTCGGCTCGGCTTCCACCGTGAGAAAAGTGTTACTTTTGGCCCAATGGCCCCGGAGTGAAAGGTCCCGTCCTGGGGATTTGCCGCTTTACCGTAATTCCTCACTTACCCACGCTCGAGCCGCCGTCAAAGAAGCCCGCCGAAAGCATCAGGGTGACCCTTCTCCAGAGTGCCAATGGATGTCGACAGCAGGTGGGAGCGACTGTATCGCCAGTCGGGCTAGTGTACTCGCAGGAGCTGTGTCATCTACTGTATTCTTGTGGTTGCGGACGGAGGCTCTTCGTCGCGCACACATGATTGATCGGTTGCTTGGTGTACAAAGCAGGTCGCATACGGCACCTCGCTTCGAGACTGATTTGATTGCGATGGTCAGGCCCCGAGATCGAGAGCAAGAAATCACGGTCATGGTGCATCGATCCTCGACGTCCTTTCTTCGGGGTTCAATGCTCGCGCCCCCTTCCCAGGCCCTCCAATGGGCTCAATGGCTGGCTCAATGTCCTGGTGTACTGTGCAGAATTTCGAGCCAAGTGATCCATCGAGTTAGTCTCCTTTCCGCACAGCCCATCCGTTTATTGCTTTCCGGTCGCAAAATCGTGGCTGCCTGGTCGGCCAACTTTGCGTTGCCCCCTTTTAACTTCGTAAAAGGGTATCCACGATCATCCGCGTTTCTCGCTCCCATCTTCTACAACGGATGTGCTCTAATCCGGCGCTAGTCAGAATCTTGAGGCTGATCATTGTCAAACGAGATGAGACCAGATATGGATACACAGCCTCAAAGTAGGGGGGGTAAACGCGAGCTGTGCAATGTTGTCGAGGAGCGCCGAACCCGAATGCTAACTCACCACCTTGAAATTCATCGGTGATCTCACATTGAGTGAACCGAAATTTTCGCAGCTCGTCCAATCTTTACCTACGCATTACATAATTATAATCTTTCGCTCATTCGCTTCACGGATTTCGGATTGGAACTTGACACTTTTGGTAGGCTTCTCCACCTTGGCACACGATCTCGTACTCACCAACGGCCATCCTCTTCGAGTCCAGCTAAGCTGTCTTCTACACAAACGTACCGAGCTGTGCTCGACAGCCTCGGTCGCGCACTCAGTCTGTCATCCGATTAGCATACGACTTTCGTCGCTCACCAACGTTGCTCTTCGTCACCAGCGGCCAACGCCTCTTTCCGGCATCATGGTTCGCGTTATCATCAAAGGTGGTGTCTGGAAGAACACGGAGGACGAGATTCTCAAAGCTGCCATCTCCAAGTATGGCATGAATCAGTGGGCGCGTATCTCCTCGCTTCTAGTACGCAAGACCCCCAAGCAGTGCAAAGCAAGATGGTACGAATGGCTCGATCCTTCCATCAAAAAGACCGAGTGGTCCAAAGACGAAGACGAGAAGCTTCTCCACCTTGCCAAGCTCATGCCCACACAATGGCGCACAATAGCCCCGCTCGTTGGCAGGACCGCCAATCAGTGTCTCGAACGCTACCAGAGGCTCCTCGACGAGGCCGAGGCCCAAGACAATCAAGCTGGCTCCAGCTCTCTCGGCCTCACGGGTACCGGTGAAGCCGTTCCGAGCGCAGACGATGTCCGCCGTCTGCGTCCCGGAGAGATCGATCCCGATCCAGAAACAAAGCCCGCCAGGCCCGACCCTATCGACATGGACGAGGATGAAAAGGAGATGCTCTCAGAAGCACGTGCACGTCTCGCCAATACCCAAGGCAAGAAGGCCAAGCGCAAAGCCCGAGAGCGTGCCCTTGACGAGGCTCGTCGTCTCGCCATGCTGCAGAAGCGCAGAGAACTCAAGGCTGCCGGTATCAACATCAAGCAAAAGCAGAAAAAGGGCACCATCGACTACAATGCCGATGTTCCCTTCGAGAAGAAGCCGCTTCCAGGCTTCTACGATACCAGCGCAGAGGCTAACAAGTCCTACAAGGCACCTGTCGGCAAAACGCTGCAGGAGCTCAACGACCGAAATGCTGGTCCCGATGATCCCACCAAGAACAAACGTCAGCGTGAAGCGGAGGAGAAGAACAAGCAAGCCAAGCAGGCCGTCGCAGGTCGAAACGAGGAGCAGATCCGCAAGCTCAAAGAAGCTGAACAGATCACAAAGCGTCGCAAACTCAATCTTCCCGCCGCTCAAGTCGGTCAGGATGAACTCGAAGCCATCGTCAAGATCGGCCAGGCAGGTGAGCGTGCACGCTCTTTGGTCGAAGACGGTCCGAGCGATGCTACCCATGGCCTCCTCGAGAACTACTCGGCGCTCGAATCCGCCCAATCCGCTCGCACTCCTCAGGTCGCAGCCCACGAAGACTCTGTCATGGCACAAGCGAGAGACCTCCGTCTCATGTCTTCTGCGCAGACTCCGCTTCTTGGAGACGCCAATGTCGATCTCAGATCGTCGCAGTCATCAGGTGCGCAGACACCCGGAACATTTGTTCCCCAGACTCCCAACCCGCTCTTGACGCCTGGTCTGCGGAACGGTCAGACGCCAGCCTCAGCGGGAGACTCGAGATCTCAGGCAGGATCCGGCACGCCACAGAGGACGCTATTCCGTGACAACCTCGGTCTCAATGTCGAGGACAGAATTCAAGCTGGCTACGAGACACCGAGGGACCTCAAAAGGGCACGCAACCTGGCTCAGTCTCACCTGAGGCAGAGTTTGTCATCCCTGCCCGCGCCGAAGAACGACTTTGACATTGTAGTCGACGAAGAGACCGCCGAACCACAATCCGTTTCGGACGGTCTCGACGATATTGTCGCAGTGAGCGAAGAGGATGCGGCGGAACGAGATGCCAGACTCGCTCGCCAAGCCGCTGAGGAAGAGGCGAAGGCGGAGGCGCGTCGCAGTCAAGTCGTCCGTCGCAACCTCCCACGACCGGCAGGAGTGGATTTGGCACGCCTAGACGAGCAAATCGAATCGCGCCATCGCAATCGCGTCGAGCTTCTCGTCGCACGCGAGACGGCCAGACTTTTGCATCACGACGCCAACATGTATCCTATCGCAGGAGGCAAGCATCCTGAGCCCGAGTCGGTGCAGCTCGAGACGCTCTCCGACGCTTCGTTGGCAGCGGCGCGAGAGCTGATGCGTGCAGAGCTGGCAGAGCAGCTTGGTTTTCCTGGTGCGAACCACGAGGTGCTGAAACGACTGGTGGGAGCTTCGCTAGACGATGACGAGGCGGGCATGCAGAATCTGGAAGATGCGCTTCAGAGGCGATGGCAGGAGGCGCGAAACGACAAGGCGCAGCTGATCGAGCAGTTGGAAACGGCACGCAGTAGGATGGCGGGGGCAGCGTCACAGGCGGCCAAGGGCGAGAAAATGCTGTCAAAGGTGCTAGGTGGATATCAGGCGAGGAGCGAGGCGCTATCGACTTCGGTCAAGGAGCAGTTCAAGTCGCTGCAAGAAGCGGCGATCTCGCGCGAAACGTTCGAGCGACTGAGTAGGGAAGAACAGGGTGGCAAAGCGGATCGACTCGACTCGCTGCGCAAGGAGGTGGAGCGTCTAGCTAGTCGCGAAGGGCTGGCGCAAACAGCGTATAAGTCGGTGATAGAGGAGCGCGACGCACTGCAGGAAGAGTGCGAAGTGCTTGAGATGGAATTGACCATGCGGCAGGCTGAATTTTTGAATGAGGCTGCTCTGTCTGCCTAAGTGCAGCATGCGTACCTGTATACCCTGTTTCGAAAGGCAAAGATGCTGCGCAGCCATGCGCCGCGGCCTGACTTGCAAACGCAATTTATGATTTGCTGCAAAGCTCGCAGACACACGCAAGAGTCTCTGGTTGAAATTTTCTGGCTTTTGGTGGAGCCGATGTCTGGCCTCTTTTCGTGCATTGCAGACATGGTCTAACCACTTTGGAGAAATGTGTCAAGAGTGTTCGTCAGGTGACAACCGCTGTCCTTGGTGGATGAGCTCGCGTTGAAGTGCAGGCGTCGCTATGAGTTGTCGGACACAGGGAGGGCCGATGTGCTCGCTTCAGGGCGGACCATTGCGGATGAAGACCTTGAAAGCTAGAGACAGGTAGGCTCAGGTGCTCTGCGGGATAGGAAGGATCTGCGATCATGCTCCTCAATCTGATCGACATCAAGTGTGCTTTTTTACGACGAGGCCACTGCAATTGTTGTGCAGCAGATGTGCGACCGAATCAAATGCATCAAGGCAAAGGCCGTCAAGCCCGTCGACGTGCGAAGCAAGAAGCCATGGCGAAGTACAAACACTGTCATGCGACGAGAGTGATGCTTCGGAGGGTTTTTAACGATGCAGCTTGGCAGCTCTACGGAGGCTTTTGGGGAGGAGCAAGGGCAACGGGCGATAGCGGTCCTACCGAAAACGCAAGAGTCAGCAAGGCAGCAAGAAGACACAGAACACGGATCTTCTTTCAAGACCACTGTTGTTCCGCTGGGGTTGTTTTTGAGGAAGTGAGACATGCTTGTGCGTGATTCATCCAAGCTGCGCATGCAGAGAGCAAGAAGACCAAGATGGAAGCGGACGGGAAAACAAAATGAGAAAAAGGGCTTATCAGATCCGACTTGGACGTTTACAATTGGTGATTCATGAAAAGCGGCTCTGAAATTCAACTCGCGCTAAGTCTTGGCAAACTTTGGTTTTTGGTAGGTGCGGCCCGCCGCATTCCGATCCAAGTGTGGTTTTGCGCTACTGTACTTGAACCGAAATGAAATCACGTCAAATTTTTTCGTAGCTTGAATTCTTATCTGATCCGAGCGCGAGTGTGGAAAAATATTATCTGATGTTGAACCACTTCAAGACGGCGTGGACGAGCTTCCTTGTCCTTTTCCTCGCCTTCTACGCATCTGGAATCCCGGCTTGCTATTGGCCGGGTCACGCGCGAAGTTCTTGCAGCCTCGCTTCGCTTCGCACACCATCGCGCCGAGCTCTGCAGACAACCCGTGCCTGGTTTGCTCGACGATGCTCCACCAAGTCGGTACTCGAATGCGTACGGCCGGCCGCTCGTTCTCATTGGCGTATGGTGTAAAGCGCATGAAGTTCGCTGAGTTGTAGCGTTTGCATGTGCAGGCGTCGTGTTCCTGGAGGAACGAGTGGCCCGGCTTCGGCCGGCGTGTCTTGGTCCTTCATGGTTCTCTGCTTGTCGTCGGCTGAAACTGTCCGAACGCTTTTCTCGTCTGTTCGGCTCTCTGTCTCTCTTCTCGTCCCTCGGTTGGCCAATTGCTTTATGGCGGCACTTCGGCTAACCGCGACAGGGAGAATTTTTTTCTGCCTTGGCTCGCCTGCCTTGGCCTGGTACGCTGTACCGTGGCCTGGCACGATTGTCGTTGGTGGATGTGCGTCATGAGCGTGTTTCCAGAGTCGAGTTAGCGAGATTGAAGCCGAGCTCCGACTGAAATAAATATCGCTCATCTGATAAGGAAAGTTTGCTTCCTGGCCTGATCCCCCCCCCCCCCCCCCC